AAAGTTTTTGACCACAGACAAACCCTAAACCCTCAAAACTAAAACCTAATACAACATAGTTAACCCAAACATAATTGATATATTAAATAAATAATTTTGAAATATTGTATTTTTGAAAAAAAGTTGAAAAATAGCATTTTTGAAAAATGGCACGTTAAAAATGACATTTCTCAAAAATTTTCATAAAAATAGTGAATGGTAAAATCCACGATTTTGCGTAAATAAATAGAATATTTGTTCGTCATATATAAACATTGTTTAATATTAAAATCTATTTGTTGACAAAAAAACATAATTCAGTGTTAGCCGACCACGAAAACAAATTTAATTTATTATTTTATCTAATCGAATTAAAAATTAGTACCAACAATTTAATTGGCTATTTCGCAAAACAAAAAAATGCCATGAGTAGAAATAGGAGGAATCAATAGGTCTAGATTAAGTGAACATTTTGTTTTAGTCAAAAAAGTTAATTTCACTAAATTTATTTTAAATCCATTTAGTGGAGGGTTTGATTCCTTCCATGACCTTTATCTTGCCCTCAACTTTTTTTTTTTATTTTGGATTTACTTGCATCCTTCTCCATTAAACAAACCAAGCCCAAATACTGTATATTAATACTACACTTTATTAATTTCACAATTATGTGGAGTGGACGTAATACTACACTTTATTAATTTCACAATTATGTGGACGTGATAGACTTAAAGTAACTCTTACGTGAAACAATCTTTTTTATTCCCTGAATTATCAAAGAGAACCTATCATTGGTTAACACGAAAATGTTAACGAATAATATGATGTGAATAATCGATATTCAATCAATCCTAAAAATATGTTATTTTTCTCAAAAAAAAAAATGTTATCGTTAACTTGTGGGGAATAAAAGACAAAATCATTTTAGATATGTGACATCGGTATTGGAAACCCCATTTTAAACCAACTTGCATGTTAAGTAAAGGTAAACAAACATGATTGATTAGTCTTTATTCCACCACTATATTACAAACTTTATAAATTCTTGGAATTAATCCCTAAAAACAAAGAAACAAAGCTTTTTTTTCTTCTTTCTAAAATACAAAAAAGAAGAGGAAAAAAATAAGGTCATTTCTTAAGAAGAAGCATAACTAAAGAAAACAAATATTGCATACATGAAGTCATTTTCTAATATTAAAGATGGCCCAAATTCTTCTTTCTTCTCACCCAATTGGACCCTTCCTCAAACCCCTCTTCTCTTCTCTTTAAATTCCACTAATACCCTTCTCACTTTCACTCTTAAATTTCACAAGAAAACCTTTTATTTTCCACTCCTCAAAGTTTGAGAGAGAGAGAA